CTTTGTAGCGCACGTGATTTTCTGGACACTCTGCTGTACAGAGTGGTGTTGAATGGAAACTGAAACTGAAAAATAAAAAAGATGTCCTTTACCAATTTACGCAATGCAGGCTTGGTTCCTTTCTCTGAAAAAAAGTTTTTCAGAAATTATGTTTTTCTCTTGTTCACTGGAGAAAGTCTGGAGGATACAGAGAATGAAAGCCACCCACAGTCCTACCAACCAAGGAGAGCCACAGTGGATGCTCTCACGTATTTCCTTCCCATATTTTCTCTGTGCAAACTTTTGTGTGCATCTGCAAACACGCCACATTAGGAAGGCTGACTTTCGGATTTTCTTGCTAATTCTTCCTAAGTGTTACTGTGATGGCTACATAGTAAGTTGATAGAAAGCCACACCATCCCTGCTTTATATCTGATTTCTTCTCTGAACTTTTCACTAAGAAAAATTTCAAACAGATACAAAAGTACAAAGAATATATAATGAACTTAACATATGGTCGCTGTAGTTTCATCTTTACGCCTTCTTCCCCTCCAACTGCCACTAGGTTATTTCAAAGCAAAGCATCCCAGATATTATCATCAGGTCATCCACATGTCCTCGACTTCTTCCTAAATAAAATGTCTCTGACTCTTCACGGCAATCACATGAATGATCACGGGTCGGTACTCCTGCTGCAGAACACTGAGCTCACTGGGGCCCTGCCTCCCACCGCTGACTTTTAAGTGGTCCACGCATACTAACTCACCATTTATTTGGAAAGCTAGTTCTTATTGGCAGTTACTATGACTCCTCACACTTAAACAGGGGGCCCAAATGTTTAATTAGCCGATTAACATATACCACTTGTGCACAACACGTAATGGGAAACAACAGGAGAAAAACAAAGAAGCTATTAAACAGGGGAAAGGAGTCCCAGGTCTGTGCCAGGGCTGGGTCTCATATTTAGGTTCCCTTTAATATTTATGTCAAAACGTCCATCTCCCCACCAGCCGCTTCCTTAATAGTGAACAAAGCTTCATCAGCTTCACTTCTCAACTTTCATGCAACTTGGCTTCATAAAAATGTCTGGTAAACAGAATAAAGGGGGAAAACCCCACATAATCACCTCAATTGATGCAGAAAACCATCTGACAACATTCAACACCCTTTCATGATAAAAACACTAAGATAAAACTAGGCAGAGAAGGAAAGTACCTCAACATAATAAAGGCCATATACTAAAAGCCCACAGTTATTATCATACTCAACAGTGAAAAACTAAAAGCTTTTCCCCTAAGATGAGGAACACGACAAGGGAGCTCACTCTCACCACTGTTACTCAACAGAGTGCTGGAACTCCCAGTCAGAGCAGTCAGTCCAGAAAAGGGAACGAAAGGCATCCACATGAAAGGAAAGAAGCAAAACGATCTCTGTTCACAGGTGACATGATTTTATACATAGAAAATCCTAAAGATTCCCCCCACTCTGGACAAAAAACTATTAGAACAAAAAATGAATTCAGCCAAGTTGCAGGACACAAAATGAACATACAAAAATGGGTTGTATTTCTATATACTAACAATGAACAATCTGAAAAGGTACTTAACAATTCCATTTACAATGGCATCAAAACAGAATAAAATACTTAGTAATAAACTTAACCATGAAAACTATAAAATGCTGCTGAAAGAAATAAAAATGACACAAGGAAATAGAAAGACATCCCATGTTCATGGATTGAAAGACTTAATATTGTTATGATGTCCATACTGCTCACAGCAATCTACAGAGTTAGGGCAATCCTATCAAAAATCCCTGATCCATAGTATCCTGCTGCCCAGTGACATTATGGGGGAAGGGAGAAGCTACCAGGACATTTGAAGGAAGAGGCTAGAGAAGGGAAAGCAGAAAATTATAAGGACCAAATAAGAGAGTGAAATGGTCAGGACTGGTTAAGAGTCACCAGCCATAAGCCTGAGTAGCACCCTCTACAGTTGCCTCTGAGCTGAGAAGTAGGAGTGCCAGAGCTTTCTGCTGCTTGAACTTGAAGTTAGTCATACCTGCAATGACTTACCCAGCACGTATACAGCATCTGAAGTATCTCAATCCCCAAGAACTTTCAGTTTTCCCATTTTGGAATTGATTCCTTACATTATAGCAGGTAGGTTTACTAACTGGCCCAAAGTAGTGAAGTAGAGACACTACCCTATGTCCTCATGCTGTACACAGGCTGGTACCTGCACTATGTTGACTGCATGCCCTCATGCTGTACACAGGTTGGTATAGGTACTATGTTGACTGCACACTCAGCATGGGCAGGCACCTTCAAGGCCTGGGATATAGTGATGGATGAGACCAACGTAGTCCCTGCCACTTGCAGGTAGTGACCCAGTGAAGAGACAGTCCTGAGCTGTCCCCAGAGAGGCCTAAAGGAAGCTAGGACATCCAAAGGACACAAATCTCCCACTGAAATGGCTTTGTCTGTCTAGCAGACCCTGTCCAGGGTGAGCCCAGGGCCCAAAGCCTGACAGTCCCAGGAGACCAGACACTGGGTCTGACAGAGCATCTGGGTCTGAGGGAAGGGGATTACGGATGCCTTAATATGGCACCTAACACTCCTGAGACATCATGGCATTACTTTCAACATGTCCAGTCACCTCTGGCCATTTTAATCCAATGCTCCTTGCTGGGAAGTGCTGAGAACGTGGAGGTATATGTGAGCGTGTGTGTAATAGCCCTGTGGGTGGGTGTGAAGGGCGCCCCACCTNCTGAGAACGTGGAGGTATATGTGAGCGTGTGTGTAATAGCCCTGTGGGTGTGAAGGGCGCCCCACCCGCCGAGTGTGGAGTGAAACAGAAGCTGGCACTTACTCCTCCTGGGCTGGATGGTGTGGGGATACAGCCTCCTCCCGCAGAAGGCTGAGGAGTTGGTGGGAGGATGGAAGGCCCTCGAGGTGGCCCAGCCTTCAACTTGCTGTAGGCATGTCCTGCTGGGGCCTGGATGCAGAGAGCACAGTCAGATGCCCAGGGGCTAAAGATTCACACACGGAGACAAAGCCACTCCGTAGATGAAGGGACGACAAACCTGGGAGGGTTTAAAACCTGCTTGTGTTTTATGTTCCAAACATCTTCACACTAGCAAGAGTGCAACTGGGTGCAGAGGCAAGGGACCAAGACTTGGAAGTCAGGCTGCACTGAGGTTGAATCCTCAGCCTATCGTTGAGCCTCAGTTTCCTCAACAACAAAATAGGGAAAATAACCCTTAACCTACCTGAAACGGAGACACAGCACAGACAAGGACAGTGGGTGGCTTCCGCAGCTTTTTCCTCATCATGTGCTCACATATCTGCATAGGTGCAGATGGGAACACGCACCTATCATGCCTGGCAGCAGATGAGTGTCCGTCTGTTTCATGAAGACACAGTGTCCTATGCAAATGACTCACTTTAGAGCCACCATGATCAGCCAAAGATCAAGACGCCTGGATCTGCAGATGAGCCCTGAGCTTCCCCAGGCCCTGCAGTCCAATGGCAGCGAGTGAAACTGCAGCCAAGTAATGAATGAAAACATCCCAGGCCACGGGGGAGAGGGGCAGTGGGCCCTCTAAGACTGGAGTGAGCAGATGGAGGCCCGTCCCCTTCACTTGGACACTCCAGGTGGAAACTCTCTGCTGCTGTTACAGTGGATGTCTTCTCTGTGGGGCCCAATAACCTGCCCTCCTGAACACACATTCCCCCACCCCAATAACCTTCAAGGAAAAGCCAGAAGAAAAACCATAATCAGAAAGCCATGTGGCAAATGCCCACTATCTCCCAGCAACCCTTTCCTTCTCACTGGAACTCAAAGTTCAAGTCAGGCCGCCCCGCCGCCC